TTTATGACTGTTGGGCTGAAATCACTGTAGCAGTGTATCAGACACTGTAGAGGTATCGATACACATTTTATAGTCGATGTTTTTGAGCATCGATACTGTTCATTACTGTTCACACAGTACCGGTATTGTTCACACAATATCGGTACTATTTATATAGTACAATACTATTTGTAAAAACATTTTTGTGCTCAATTCTAAATTAAATGGACTTTGAATTATTTTTGTAAACTTTGAAAACTTAGAATAAATTCAATTCAAGTCCAAAAACATTTTGCCATAAATTGTTATATCAAAACATAGTTCAACAATTTTTATTCTAAAGAAAGTGAAAAATTAGTCTTTTAATTTAATAATGATATAAGTATTAAGTTCAATATAATACAAAAAAAAATTCACACTATAGTTGAGTGATTAAGCTTCCGGTGATTAATTAAAAGTGTCTCATATTTGAATCTTATAACCATTGAAACATATTAATTTTCCGATGATACCATTATATAAGTTAAATACAAGTGAACGAACCAATTTACTTCAGTGGTTAAGGGAATTATTGTTGTTCCTAGAGGTCATGTGTTCGCCCACCAACAATTGCAGTAGGATGATTGAACTTTCATTGTCAAATAATCGAGAGTATTTAAAACATGTACTACTTGTTTAGCAAGTAGTTGATTATATGATTTACGTTAATGAGTATGATAGCTCCTTTTGAAAATAATATCTAACTCCTATTTTTAATTAATAACCTTTTTTTGTAAAGAAACATACATTATTTTATCATTAATACTAAGCCTCTATAACATGATTATATTGTAATCTATGTCCCCCTTTTGTTCCTTAGAATTCTTTTGGTTGACCCAATCAAGTATATGGTTTTTTTATTAGAAAAATCATTGTAAATCATGCAAAATAGAAAAGCGTCTTTGCTTTTTTATTTTCAGGGTAGAGGAAAATAAAATTGTGGGACAATGCCTGACGGAACATTTGCATTATATCTATCCAAATTCAGTTACATATATAATTTTAAACATAAATTTAATTTGATTTGAATAAATTTAAAATTTACTGAAATTTAATATAGTATTTAATAAATAAAATGTTTATAAATTTAAATTAATTCGATCCGATCCAAAGTTACTGAACTTAAATATCGCATAGCAGTTGCTTTCAAAGCTGATAAATTTGACACGAACTTTTCTCCAAGCGATGCCTTGATGTTCAAGCGATGCCTTGATGTTCAATAAACGTGAAAATAATATGGAGAGACTTAATTGAAATCCAGTATGATTATTTTTAGAGTGAAATTTTATATTCGAGCTGATCAGATTTGAGATAATATAATATATATATATATATATATATATATTTATTTTTATCAAATAAAATAGAGATTTAATTAAAAAATAAAAGGATACAACGGTTCCTGCACTTTAAAAAAAAAAATCAATGTGGCTCTCAAAATTTACACTCAATACGACCTCGAATTTAGAAAAAGAATCTAATGTGATCCTTTGATAAGCGGTTTCATTCAGTGACTGTTATGATGCTGACGTGGTACTTCACGTTGTTGACGTGGTGGTCCACGATACTGATATGACAGTTTACGATAGTTGATGACATAACTGATGTCGTGACAGATGAGCTAAATTGATTTTTTTAAGTTTAAGGGCTTATTTGATTTTAAAAAATAAAAATATTTTAAATTTAAAATATTAAAAAATTAAATGTAAAATATAATTAATTATAAGTATTAATTATTAAATAAAAATAGGTTCTATTTAGTTTTAAAATATTATTATTTATAAATATACAAGAGATGATTATATTATAGTAAGCGAATCATATTATATAACTTTTACTCTAAATTTGAATATGACTCAACCTTGTTCTTGAAAAATCTAACTTGATTCATACTTGAATTAAAAAAATCCTATAAAATTAATCAAATCAAAACCCGTCGAGTTTGAAATTCATGATGATTCCTCCTTGTCATGCATAGATTACATATTTTCTAAATAAAATCAATCTTAAATTTTTATATCAAAATTTTAAATAAAATTTAAATCCATTATTTAATAAAAAATACTTAGAAAGATTTGTTACAAGTCACCAATTTTATTGATAAGAAATTTTAATTACAAAACTAAAGATTTATTATCTATCTTATGTGTATTAGGGTTTTTCTCTTTTTCTTCTACCTAAGTTTTCTTTTAATATTTTTGTATCGTCTTTTTTTCCTTTAATTTTTGTTTAGTCGACAACAACATTAATCTTATTTTTTATTGTTAACCTTCAATGATCATTATTTTTCTTGTTTTTCTTTATATTATGTCCTTTATTTTTTTTCTTGAGCTTTTTCAATTTTAAATAAGAATTTATGATTGTGATACACTTTCTCTGATCTTGTGGCACTCTTTTTCTATGCTCCTATAGCATGTTCTTTATGACTTTTGATTCGTTTTTCGTATACCTTTGCGGTCGTGTTGATCCTCGCACAGATCCTCATGACATTTTTTTTATTGGTTTGTCTGTAGTAACATATTGTCAAATCCCCTATTTGATAAAAGTTTGTTTGTCGATATAATCAGAATTGTGTAGCAAAACAGTTTGTCAAATTGTTGGTTCACTCACACTCTTTTATTATTTCGTAAAGTGTCCCTCGTTTGATAGAGATAAAATTTTATGAAGGTTATTGATTTCTTTTGATGTTGAACATCATTCTTAATGGAAAAGATTTCATTTTTCTCCACATCTTTAGCTTTAAAATTTTGTTTTGTTTATGAGTTATTTTGGTGACTTTTGTATCTAATTTTCTTTTTGACGAGCTGTAATTTCAATTTTTTTTAATTTTTTTTATTAATAAAATTCAGTCGTTATTGTTAAATAAAATTATAATCTACTTAAGTTTTGTAGCATCTTCAATTGTAAAATACTTTTTATGAATAAAGTAATATAATCATCAATAAACCAAAGTTTCTAGACTCTGTAACAAAAATAAAAATAAAGTTTTGACTAATGTACCAACAGGACCCATTAAATAATTGGTAGCGTGCAACCTTACAATTATTTATGTTGTCATAAATCAACCACCCAAAAAGAATTCTCTCTCTCACTTTATTTCCCATTTCTTTGGTGTTTTTATTTATCAAAAGTTGCTTTCTCTTCCTTCTTCAACCAGTATTCCGTCGGTTTGAAGATTCATTTATTATTTTAAAAACATTATTTTTCTTTAATACTCCAAATTCAACTTATATAGTCTGTAAGTTGAGAAATACATAGGTTAAAGTATACAAATAGTCTTTCGAATATAAGATATTGTTTTGTTAAGTACATCGACTATTAAAAGTTATAAAATGATCTTTGATTATAGAATATTTGTTTGTTGAGTCCACTGACTATTAAAAGTTATAAAATGATCACCGTATTATTCATATGTTCTAAACATGTCATTCTCTGTTAAGAAATTGATAGTAGTTTAAGCTAAACGTTAACCTTTTGACCATAATATGATAAAATATGATCTCAAAATCTCAAACGACCATCATAAACGTCTAACTCAATTTGTCGTCAAATTTATAATGAAAAATGATGAGTTTATAACATATGAATAGTTGAGTGACCATTTTATTAATTTTAATAATCGAGAGACTCGACAAAATAATACTCTATAGTTAAGAGATCATTTTGTAACTTTTAATAGTCAGTAGATTCAACAAAATAATGCCCTAGTCGAAGATCATTTGTGTACTTTACCAAAAAAAAAACTTATATTAAAAAAAACTTACCTTCATTTAGTGGTGATAATATTTCTCGTGGACATAATTACTAAATGTAATTAGAGTTAACAATGACAAACCATCCACCCAATCCCCCACCATCTTTTCTCTTTCGAAAGTTAAGAAACTAACAATTTTCTTTTAATCACTTGTTTTACAAAACATTAATTCCAATCCCTCCTCCTTAATGATGGATTATATTAGTTGAGGGTCCAATCTATCACTTCTTGTCCATGGGGGTTACTAGCTTTCTTTGCAATTAAAGTGGGAATAAGAGGAATTTCTATTCTCTTGCATTTACTTTATTGTAACATAATTTTGTGGACCATATTACTTTTATTGAAGCATGGCCTGTCTTTGCGTTTCCAGGCTTCATAAATATTTACATATTTACCTGAAAACCATCTTTCTAGCTATTCTTAAATTCGCTGCTAAACAAAAAGATTTTAGCAATTCTTTAGGTTGAAATTTAGGATTTAATTATTTGATAAATAATTATATATATATATATATATATTTGTAATGTTATGAGTTGATTTAAATTGACGGTATATCAAGTATTCTCATAAAATTAATAAAAACAAATATAATTATAATTATGTAAGCACGTGACGTATCATCAATTTGACTCGATCAAACTAAATGCTTAAGATACTTTAGTATTAATGACTAACAGTGTTGTCGATCAAATTACACCAAATTAAAACAGAGAGTTACATTCTAAAATCAACATAATTGAGGGACTGAAACCATATATAGACCATATTTTAACAATATAGCGGGTGGTGAAATACGGATTGAACGGCGCGATGCGATGGAAGAAGTTAACATTAACTGACAAATAACATAAATACCACGTGGCGCGAGACCAACTCATATCATAAAGAAAGGGCAATACCGTAATTACGAGTGTCCACAACGCTCGACGCTACCTTGCCCGTTCGGCAGATCTCCGGTTTGATCTTTTTTCTTTCCATTTTAACCCTTGAACTAAATTCAAATTCTCTTTTTTATCCTTCGTTTTCAACTGTATTCGACGCGTAAAGTCATAGCAAATTGGATTACGCTTCAGTTTTTCGCTCTTCCAAGTCAAGTCTGTGGCTCTGTTCCCTTCCTCTGTGATGGTTTTTTTTTTTCATAAATATTTCCTTAATTTTAAATTTAAGTTCAAAGAACAATTTAAATTTAGTTCATTAAGCATTGACTAGTGGATTTTGTTTTTGTACGCGAGATTTTGTTTTTATCCGATTTCAGAAATTATCTGTTGGAGATATTTTACAGCTCCATACTGATTACTGCTAACGTTTAGAAATCTATAAGTTTTGGATTCTTACGTTAAAGTGCGCCTGCTTTATCGTTTTTTCCGAATCAAACTGTTGTTATTAGATTTTATTCGGTTTGGATTTTGCAGAGCTCGAGTTTTGAGGAGGAAGTACGATTAAGGATTCGGATCAGAGCATAATGGAGGGAAAACGACGTTGTTTTGGTACTAAACTTGGTACTCCATTAGCTCTTTTAACTGAACCGCCATTTTCGTTTTGAGGTAAAAGAAGAAAAGAAGTAGAAATGAGAAGGTGAATGAAAATATTTTGTATTTGTTTATGAGTATAAAGTTGAAGATTTTCTTTGCTTGGCATTTAAGCATAGTTGGTGACCACTGGGGAAAGGTTTTTGCTCCGTCAAGAATTAAAAATAAAAATATTTTTTTGTTGTTGAAAGATTAGGGTAAGGAATGGAGGTTTTCATCTTAACAACCAGCTTCATTGACATTTGTTGTTGTTTTTCATTTTTTAAAAAAAAAATTGATGTAATTGATTTTTTTTGATAAAAAGGAATACTTCGTTAAAAACCCCCCCTCATAACCGTCAAGCAACAAAGACTCAACGGACATTAAAATTGATGTTTAACCTTAAAAATAAAATATCAAATAAAAAATCAAATCATTTTCATGTCGGTTGGATAAAGCTTATGATTAGCTCATTCTTGCTGATATAATCAGTAATTAGCTTTTATACTCATTGATCGTTTTCTATAGTTAGTTGGATTTACAACCACGATTAGCTTCTTTAGCAGATAGTCTATGGTTGTGAACAGATGAGCCTGAGCTTAATATTACATTTGGAAACCCCAACAACTTGCTGTTAACTTAAAAACTGTCTTGTATTTTTTAGGAAAGCAAGAGTGAGATGTATATTTGATCTCTTGAGTTTGATTTTTTTCCTCTTTTTGAAAATCTGCAAATTCATGTCTTTTTTTTTATTTAACTTTTAGTAGGGTGAGTAACTATAAAACTGGAGTAAAAAAATGGGGGCAATTGGTGGGGAAGAGTTAAAGAAGTTGGAGAAAGAGCAGAAGGCACAAATGGCAGGTGCTCGTGAGGAGAGGATTCTAGTTGTGGTGAGGCTGAGGCCTTTGAGTGACAAGGAAATTATAGCAAATGAAGCTGCTGATTGGGAGTGCATCAATGACAGTACTATCCTATATCGGAACACCCTCCGTGAAGGGTCCACGTTTCCTTCTGCCTATACATTTGGTAAGCAAATTCTTGCTGTTTTCATGTTGGTTTTGATCGAACGATCTCCGGTTGCCTTAAACTATAACCAACTCCCAGTCTCTAACTCATATTTGCTGAAGTTGGGACGTTCTTTTTTACTATAATATGGTTAAATAAAAACCAAACTTATCCTTTAAAATGCCTGGTTAATTGGCTAGGCCATCTTAATGATTGAGATCTTGATTTCTTTTTGTATGGCATAAATTCTTGCTTTTTTTAAGGAATGCTTGGTTTAAGTTTTAATATCAGTTTTAAAAGCATCAAACTTGAAAATAGTTATTTCCGTCATGTGCTGGTGATTTGGAAGCAGTTTTGATCAATAAAGTTTCGGACATGAGACTTATGTTGCCTTCACTTTTTTCTTGCTTCTTATGTTGGGTACAGATAGAGTATTTCGGGGTGACGCATTGACAAAGCAAGTATATGAGGAAGCAGCCAAGGAGGTTGCTCTTTCAGTTGTTAGCGGTATTAATTGTAAGTGGGGGTATTGGCAAATTGGCATCTTGGTGTTTCTCTCTTTTATAAACTACTTGTTGAGCGGGAAAAGGGTTTTTTTCCTAACACATTTTCTTCCTTATGTTCCACAGCTAGTATTTTTGCATATGGGCAAACTAGCAGTGGGAAGACATACACCATGACTGGAATAACTGAGTATGCGGTTGCAGATATATTTGATTACATAAACAGAGTAATGAAAGTTTAACTCATCTTAGTTCCACTTTTCCCATATCTTTATTTTAAAGCTTTTATTTGCATAATATGGATATCATCCTTGTAGCACGAGGAGAGAGCATTTGTTTTGAAGTTCTCAGCAATTGAGATATATAACGAAGCAATTAGGGACCTCCTAAATTCAGAAAACACTCAACTTAGGTTGCGTGATGATCCTGAGGTGAATACCATCATCCATATTAATTTCAGTTTATCGAGTTACGTTTGATTTAACAAGTTATTTGCATCAGAGAGGAACCACTGTGGAAAAAGTCACGGAGGAAGTGCTGAGGGACTGGAGCCATTTGAAAGAACTCCAAGCCATTTGTGACGGTAAAGCATTTGAAAAGTCCTATGTTTACAAGATGGTGTTGCACACTTGTACCTTCATGTATTATCACTAATTTTTTAATGTATTGCATTGTTTCAGCTCAAAGAAAGATAGGAGAGACCTCATTGAATGAAAGAAGCTCCAGATCTCATCAAATTATAAGATTGGTGTGCTTTCTTTCTTTGCTTGAACATTGAATTGAAAATAGCTTATGTGTAGTGATATTGAGTTTTTTTCCCTTCCTTTTTTAGCATACTAATATGAGTTCTAACTTTTGTAGACAATTGAAAGCTCTGCCCGTGAGTTCCTAGGAAAAGAAAATTCAACAACCCTTGCAGCTAGCGTGGTATGGCTCATGGAATTTACATTCACCTTTGCAATTCACTTAATAAAGTAGCTCTCCTGAAATTGTTAAGTCATGCAAAGATGTTATCTGAGTGCAGAATTTTGTTGATCTGGCTGGAAGTGAGCGAGCATCTCAGTCATTATCCACTGGTGAAAGACTGAAAGAGGGTTGCCATATAAATCGTAGTTTACTGACATTGTCAACTGTTGTTCGCAAGCTAAGGTTGGCCGGGTCATCATAATTTGACTGCTCTTACTTTTTAAAATTCAACCATCTGCAAGAGACTATTTGATATATTTAAATTGAAACAGAGAATTTTGGGCATGGTTTCCTGATGGTTTATTGAGGCTCAGAGCTGAATCTTTCTTAATGGCACAAATATTTAAATATAATTTTACTATATTTCTATATTTTTTAGTGTTAGTTCTTTCAGTCCAGTTGGTTCTCTCATTTTATTTTCTGTAATAATTACAACAATTGTTTTGAAATACAGAATATTGATGATTTTTGCAGAAGGCAATTTCTTGTTAAAATTTTTCTCACCTACATGATTGTGGTTGTATGGTGGATGCAGTAAAGGCAAGCAAGGACACATCAATTACAGAGATTCTAAGCTGACACGCATACTGCAGCCTTGTTTGGGTGGTAATGCGAGGACTGCCATCATATGCACCTTGAGTCCCGCACGAAGCCATGTTGAACAAACCCGAAACACTCTTCTGTTTGCTTGTTGTGCAAAAGAAGTTACTACAAAAGCGCAGGTCAATGTGGTCATGTCTGATAAGGCCTTAGTTAAGCATTTGCAGAGAGAGCTGGCCAGGTTAGAAAGTGAACTCAAGACTCCTGCTCCTACTCCATCAAGCAGTGACTATGCAGCTTTACTGAGAAAGAAAGACCTTCAGATTCAAATGGTTATGCTTTGCTTTCGAAACTCATTTGCAGATATACATGGCCCCTCAGGTTGCTTCTTTAGTTTTGTCACTGCCTAACATTGATTGTCGACTTTACACTATGCCAGATGGAGAAGGATATTAGAGAATTGACAAAGCAACGTGATCTTGCTCAATCTCGGGTGGCGGATTTGCTAAGGGAGATCCGAAATTATCAAAATTCAGGACAATCGGTATGTGTTATTGTCTTTATTCTGTATCGTTACATGTTATGTTATTCACTCAATATGGTCCTAATTTGCTATAGTATTTTTGTAATTGCTTAATCTCTTGTTAATAGTTCCATCTTCATCCTCTAACCCTTCTTTCGTTTCTCTGATCAGGCAAGGATTGATTACCATCCCAATCAACGAGCAGGAGATGCATGGGAAGATGACCATTCAGCATCAGAGTCATCATGTTTGGCTGATTCTAAGCGTTTGGATGTTCAAAATTTTAATTCAAACAGTGGTTATGACACAGAGAGTGGGAATAATATTGAGGAGCCCTATCATCAGCCTCTGAACAATCATCAAGATCATTCCATGTCTGACACTGGTCAATGTCTTGATGAGACTCCGCGTGAAACTGCTGATGACCCTGAGGAATACTGCAAAGAGGTTCAATGTATTGAGCCTGAGGAATCAGGGAGGGATTATAATTCTCAATCTCGTGCCTTACCAAATGGTGAAAGTGAAGGAATATCGGCATTGACATTTCATGGAGATGAAGATGGAACCGACCATGAAACAATGCCTACTCCAATGAATGGAGATGAAGAAGCAAATCATAACCAACATGGTTTTATGTCCGATACAATGGAGCTGAGACTTCATGTACAGAAGACAATTGATTCTCTTGTCAGCTCTGATAAATCATCCCCAGATGCTCGACTAGCAGATTTGTCAAGTTCTCCAAGCCTGAAATTGAGTAGGAGCTGGAGTTGTAGAGCAGATGTCATGGGCGGTACATCTTCTCCTTATGCCAACAGAGAACATTTCGAAAGTACCCCACCAACTGGGTTGGAGAAAAACTATCCTGGAAGACCACAAGGTTACCAACAGAAGTTCCATTTACTAGATTTTGGTTCCAGTAATGGAGTGCTCTCTCGGAATAATTCCCAATCTTCTCTTGGGAGTGCTTCCATCAAGACTTCTGCAGATGAAGATATTACTAGCATTCATACATTTGTTGCAGGATTGAAGGAGCAACTCGCTAACGGTCAGGTGAGAGTTGCCTACCATTTTCCCTCCCATGTCCGGAAAAGCTTTTAAACTTGCACTTGAGCAATGTGTCATTTGATTTCTTTGAAAATGTTTGGTTCATTCGTCGTAGGTTCAGAGCACGGTACTAGAAGCGGGTGAGTCTGGCAGGAGTATGAAAGATGTAGGACTGGATCCGATGCATTCAGCACCAAGCACTCCTCTGCATTGGCCTCTGGAATTTGAGAGGCTGCAGAGAGCAATACTTGAACTTTGGCAAGCTTGCAATGTTTCTCTGGTTCATAGAACATACTTCTTCCTTCTCTTTAAAGGTGATCCAACTGATTCCATTTACATGGAGGTTGAGCTCAGGAGACTTACCTTCCTCAAGGAAACATTTTCCGGAGGAAATCAAGCCATAGAAGAGGGCCGCACTCTCACACTGGCTTCAAGGTTCTTTCTCCCTCTCTTGCAACTTTTCTTGGTCGAAACTGGACCTTATATCACATTATTACTACAGTATATGCACATACATGTATAATATATCTCAATTTCAAAACTCTGACAGAGTATTCTTCTCGTTTTCAATATCAAATGCTGGATACTGTGCGTTGCATATCCATAAATCATGCTTTAGTGCTGTCTTAGTATTTATTATACTCGGAACGATGGTAATTCGGATTTCAGAGGAACCAACCAACCATTAATGAAAATCTAGGAATAAATGTTTGTTTTGTGTTACTTTCCTGACATGTTATATGTATCAATCTGTTCATATATGTCTACACAGTGTGAGAAGTCTTCGCCGCGAGAGACAAACCTTGAGCAAGCTGTTGCGTAAAAGATTTACGGAAGACGAACGAGAGAAACTGTATCAGAAATGGGGCATCGAGTTGAACTCGAAGCAGAGAAGGCTCCAGCTGGTGAATCAGTTGTGGAGCAATAACAAGGATACGAGTCATGTAAAGGACAGTGCCACCATTGTTGCGAAACTGATTAGGTTCGTAGAGCAAGGAAAGGCCCTGAAGGAAATGTTCGGTCTCAGCTTTACTCCTCCCCGCCCAAGGCGAAGAACCTATGGCTGGAAAAACAGCATGGCATCCCTTTTGTGAAAGCTTTTGTTCATGCATTTATGCCTTATAAACACAGGTGTAAAGAGGCAATTTCTCGAAAATTATAGGGCACGTAGCATTGTTTTTGTGATTGATATATTTTTCGTTTAACAGTTTGAATTTGTGATGACCTTTCAGGTAGTGGTGTAAAATCTGGATCCGAATATAAACTCTAATTTGATAAAAAAAAATCAATTTAAATTTAATATTTTGTAAATTTATATTATTATTATTTATACATTTTTGTAGCCAAATAATGTTAAATTTTTGCACTGTTAATATTAATACCAAGTAGCTAAAAAATGCAATGGATTATAATGGTAATAATATTAGATTTGATGGTGCTATATATCTCTTAAAAGAGTTGGAACTTTTCATTATTAATTCGCTAATGGCATGTTCAAATTATTTTCATGTGCTTTATTATTGAGGGGAGGGTTGTTTAGAGCATAAAATTAATAACAATAGTAGAGTTTAGGAATTTGGGCTAATTTTAATGAAATGTTTAGTGCATAATACTCAAAACAAGGATAGATCCATGGGTTTTTTCCCAATATCGAGGGCATCAAAATTATTTGGACTTAGTATTTCAGATTTTATTATGTAATATACTGCAGATGCTATAGTATAGGGAAATTTGTAACATTGAGGTGACGAATTTATCTAAATAATATTTTTTATTTAAATTTATCACATCGAGATGATGAGTCCTAATAAAATATAATATTTTTATTAGATTTTTGTCGCATTGGAGTATAAATTCTAATAAAAAATATATTTTATTGAAACTCATCATCTCGAGATGACTCACATTGATATGAACATTTTTTCCTATTATGGCTTATGTTTCTACAATGCCCACATCTTTTGTTTTCTTTGGACGTCTCTCGAATATCCATATCACAATGAATTCGAGTGGATTTTGGATGATCTAACTCCCTTAATAAGGACGTATTTGGTACAATCGGAAACCAATTCTGAACCTCATATGGGTTTTTCTCATTACATATGAGGGGTAACTCAAATTCATATGCCTTAAATACTTCTGATAGTTGGTATACGAGATCCATAAAAAGATTATAGTCTTGACGTGTATAAGAGCAAGTTGCTATGATATAGTAGCATGGATACTTTAGAGCTTAAAAAAACCCACAGTCACACAATCTGTCTTGTATATTAACTCTGAACGAGTTAACTTCAATCCCTTGAAGAGGTCGTGATATTTCTGTGACACAAAATAATTTATGGGTTAGAGAGAAGCTTGTTACAAATATTCCATTTGATGCAACAATTCTTTTTGTAGATCTGCAACTAATCTTGGGTGATAAGTATGGTCGTTTTGCATCTAAGTTAGAGTTTGTCCCCCGAGCTTTGCAAAAAGCGCTCCCAAACGAAAATAAGTTATTTTAACCAAATCTATTACATATAAATGTTGTGCCCCTTTAAGGTTGAATTGATAGTTTTAGCCAAATTGCTCGTCATGTGTCCATATCGATATCTACCATCGTATACATTTTCCACATTTCTTTGTTGATGAGACTGATGTAATTGTACCTTGCTCATTTTTTCCTCGCAAATCTTGAAGCATGGACTCAAACATTTGAGGTAATAATTCATAACATGAACATCAAATGTAGTACTTACTGTTAAGTTCCTATAAAAATAAAAATGATTGAGAAATGAAATTAGACATTGTGGCATACCCATGCACACATGTAATTGGCGCTCATCATTCTTCTTGAACTTTCCATGATAATTTACAGCAATATGTCAGATACAGTACAGATGTTAGACATAGAGTGGCTGCCACATTGGACCCAAAGACTCCATTACTGCTTTGATCTCAGCTCCATGATATAAAATGGCACAATTTTTTCTCTCGTGACAACATGTAAGCGTAAGTTTTTTAGGAAAAAAAATCCAAGAATCTATATTTTCTCCTTTAACAATGGCAAAAGCAACTGGAAAAATATTGTGATTATCATATTAGACAACTGCCAATAATAAAACTTTCTTGTATTTTTCATACAAGATTGTCTCATCAATTTGAACCATGGGCTTGTAGTATTTCACAACATTAATGCACTGTGGGTAAGTTCAAAAAAGTCAGTAGAATTGGCATCGATGGCGAAGCACTCGATCATTGTGGCATGCATGACAAGTTTCAAAGTCCACTATTATCCCAGGATTCAATCTGCGCACTACCTTAAACCAACTTGGTAGTTCATTGTAAGATGAATCCTACCCGTCGTGAAGTTTTTGAATAACATTCTACTTTGCCTTCCACGCTTTTATGTAGGAGACAGTATATCCATATTGAGACTTTATAACTGAAATCAGCACCACAATAGCTATATGAGAGTTTGCTTTGACCATAGGCATGATGACTTGGCAGATAATGTCGAAGTTCAAGTTGGGATAATCCTAGTTGATCACTCTAGCACATGTATGAGGACCTTTCTATATTGTTAGTTCCCGAATGTTGTTTTTTTCTCTTCCTCTTCGATATATGAACCATCCAGTTGTATCCGTTATCACGTTAGACACAGTAGCATACATTTTTCAATGGTGGATTGGTCGACTCTAGAGTAAATAAAATTACGAATGTTGTAATTCTTAATCGCAATTATCACTTCTTCTTTGGATAGAAACTCTATTCCATTATATAACTCACCATCATTGACTAATGAGTTAAAATTTTAATCACCAACATTAGGCATATCCGTAAATTATGACCCGTAGATTGCACCATAGTCAACTTCATACATGTGTATTGGAGGCTCCGTGTGTACCTATTCGTGGGAACTTCATCTACATCATCATTATCAGAGTCCATGTTGAACTACGGTGATTATGGCTCAACGAATAATCCAGTCTCAGCACCATCCGTACTGGCTCACGAAGTTCTTCTAGTGGAGATGGGGGTTCATATGTGATGTCAATATTTAGGTCGAACAAGCTGATAGTTGAATGTCTTCCCCTTAAACTTGAAGGCATTGTGTAACACCCCCAACCCGTACCCGACCCGAATACGAGTCAGAGATATTACATTGACTTTTAAAACACAACTCTTAACAAATAATAGCAAAATACTTGAACTTATATTAAGAAAATATGATAATATACATATGGTAATATAAGTTTACCAAAATATTCAGAGCATACACAACTTAACCCTTTAATTACATGCCAACTTCCATTTACATAACAAAATGACCTACTGATTAAGTTGTTTCTGATCTGATGGTTGTAGGAGTAATGTTGTCCAGCTGCTTAACCTGTCTCGTCTACTTTCTCGGATCCTACGTATGAAACACTCATACGCTAAGTCATCGACTTAGTGAGGCAATGTAATAATGATAACAAGGAAATGTAATGAAAATGTCATAATGATATGAAATGGGATGAAAGCGTATACTTAATTCATGTAGTTTACATCACCATTATCCTTACCTGTAAGCATATAACTTTAAAATTCATGAATTTGTATTAATAAATTTATTAGCCCATGATATCATATTGAGAACCTAAGGTATGTGAGTATTTTGAGGTTGTGCACTATGCTGTCACCACAGCTCGTATAAATACACCGAAGTGCCGCGTAGAATTGCATCGTAGTGCCATATAATAATGTCCATAAGGACCACATAGAATTCTTTAAGAATCATATACATATACTAGGGATCAAGTATGTGTCTCCTTAGACTTCACACATGTTCCAAAGAATATATATATATATCCCGAAGGATCGCGTAGAATTTTATCCCGAATGACCGCGTAGACCCTCTACCCTTGGCATGCCAACTATACCTATAGTTCTCATCTACATAACATGGGCTTTTACATTTCACGTAGTTTATATCACGTAGACATGTAAATTCTTACCTTTTCACATAGCTCATATAACTTTTCCTGCACATTCATGTCACATAATGCATTTTATATGAATTCATGTCATGTCTCATAATACAAAATATGATCATGTATAAAGATATAAAATCTAGACTTATCACAAGTATATAATTGAGTATATTTCTATAATCATGCTATACATATGCACTCACCTATATTTCCTTGTTTTTTCCTCGATCGATCTTACTGGGTAATTGTTCGTGAACTTCATTAAGCTCTGTATCTACATAGTAATTCGTTGATACTTATTAGTATACTAATTAATATATTCTAAACTATCATTTCTTAGGCTAAAAGAAAAGCTATTTCCATCTTTTAATGAGATCGATGCACTATACAGTGTATCGATGCATTCCCTATCGGTGCATCGATGCACTACCTGTGCATCGGTGCATAAATGACATTCAATGTTTGCATTTTAAGGTGATTCATCGATGCACTCATTATGCATCGATGCATTAATTGCATTCGATGTTTGTTTATTTGAGAGTGCATCGATGCACATTGAAGATGCATCGATGCACACAACCCAGAAATCCCATTGCAAGCACGAAATTCACTATTTTCATCTCAACTCTTCATCTTTCACCTCCTTTAATATTTCTAACTCTTATACACCTACTTAGACTGATTAATACCCATTTAATACCTCTTAACCTTACAAATCCAATCATTAATACCGAATTCAAGAATCTTACTCAAATTTCAACATGTTCTAAATCTAGTTCTAACACTTCATATCATTTACTTCCACTCATGACAAGTTAAATTTAACTTCTAAATCCATTTATACATCCTTATTCAAGATTTCACTTATCCACTTCTTATCTTTAATCCTTCATAACTCACCAATATTTGAGTTTCTATAATATTTTTCATCTCAATAATCTTTCCTAAAGCTTCATAAATTAAACTCATACTTTAATTTGAAGGATTAACCAAAAGAAATCAAACTTACCTTAGGTTTGGGTGCTTCACGTTGAAGAAGAAAATGAAGAAGAAAGAAGAATCAAGAGTTATCTGGAAACTCTTGTTTCTTTCCCTTGGGTATTATAATATTGGGTATTATAATACCCAATATCTAATATTTAATTATTACCTTTGCTCAATGACCCTTTTACCCTTTTAACTCTCACTCACTTATTAATTCATCCTACACCAATATCTTTTAATTAATTCCTTCACTTTTTAATTTATTTAATTTGATCACTGAAATTTTAAAATCTTACACTTTAATCACT